AGCAACAGGGACAGAATAGTATTATTTCCACTCATCAGTGACACCTTCAGAGTAACGTACAACCTACAAGAGCTTATGCAGGTGTGACACTATTAATATAAGTTTAACATAATTCAATAACAACACTGAATGGGGGACACACACACACACACGCTCAACACATGAAGCTTTTTTCTCAAATTTAAGCTTATGAATTGCAATTCAGGACTGTTGTGACTTTGAGGGAAGATGCTCTGTTTGCATTTCCTCAGCTCTTTTGAACTAAGTAAGAGCAATGGTGGTGAGACAACTGAAGAATGTCCCCCTAATAATACAGCAAATACTGCAAGTGCTAGCTAATGCTACTTCTGGTTTGAAAACAAATAAACTAAGCATGCTTCTGCTTCGTTCTACTACAGGTGCCACAAAGCTGAACAGAAGTTGCGATCAGATCATTTAACAGCTATTTTACTTATTTTAAATTGTCCAGCAATCGGCTGTTGGCTGCCCCTACCCCCTTTTTTTCCCCCTTTGGTTTGAGATAATTGTTCCATATTCCAGGGTTGAACATTTTGGGTCTTTGCTTTTATTCTCCACAGATTTTGCTGTGAAGGCTGTAATAGCACTGTTCTTTCTTTAGGTCCATTTGCCAAAGTATTTTCTTGTCTTGATGTTGTGCGCTCATTTGACTTGCACTTCCGTTGTCTGATTCAAAACTGCTTAGTGTCAGATGTTACACTGGCTTCTAGCAGTTTGCAGAAAACCTGCCTAAGATTTGCTGATAATCAGTGTTTGGTGAACTAAACTGTATCAACAGTTGAGATGAAAGTTAAAAGGCTAAAGTCCTTCTGCCACTGGGAGCAGATTGTCAGCATAGAGTTTCAGGACCTTTACAAATGACAGCTTACTGCAATTTACCATTGTTAACCAAAAACATAATTAATAATTTAGCTAAAAAATCCAGCTGAGCCATATCAAGTCTTGTTAATCTTCAGGCAGCAGAAGAGTCAAGCTTATAATTAACACATGTGGTTTCCAACAGGAAATTACTCATCTGCTTAACGTTGTTTTTCATGAGTATACTTGCCTGTATTTTATCCTTTCTATCTGAATATTAAAACCTCTTGGCATAACGTTATATAACAGTAGAACTGTGAACAGTCATATCTTCATATGTTATATGCAGATACATTATGAACAGGTTAGTATTATGCATAGTAGTGATAGGTTGCTGAGAACTATTTATAAAATTAGTGTCAATCAGGTTTTTTGGTTTTTTATTTAATTACTTACTAGTTCTGAAGTTCCGTTTGGATGCAGGCGGAAAGTATGCTTCCCAGCAAAAAATGCTGGGATTTCAGTATCCTTGGGGTTTTGCTTTAAGAAAAAATAGGGAGATAGATATGGATTCTCAACATGGCATTTCTATACCCAGGTTGTTTCCATGTAGAAAATTGTTCAAACCTAAAACTTGCTGAAGATAATGACTGCTACAGTGGAGTGACTAGGAAAAGTTTATACTTGCAGCATCTTTAATGGTTGATGTATGAATGAGGGAGATCATAGCACCACCACTTGGAATCTGAAGAGGAAGTAAGCCCATTGCTGATCTTCCCTGCTTGCTAAATGGAGAAAATACTGTTTAGGTATCACTGACAAATGAAGTTAGTCTGCAAAATGGTGGGAGTTTTGTCACTTTGGAAATGAGCCTAATCTTAGGGGGGGAGGGAAGGCTTAATTTTGGGCATTTCTAGTTGTATGCATACACACAGAGAAGTACATACAAAAATACGGGGACTGGTCCTGTGAAATATTTACAGGATGAAAAAATGCTTACAATGTTTGCAGACTACAACAAATTTGGAGAATTTACACGGATTTTGGCAGACAGGTTAAATTTGAAATGTCTTGGCAACTTGACTTAGTGTCCTTTAAAAAAAACAATACGAAAATAGCAATGCTGATGAAGTTGTCTTTGGTAAGTGCACATTGTACTGTGTTTAAAATGCGTAATTAACAGCACAACTAGATAAAGAGTATTGGAAGCTTAGTTTGGAGGTTTGCAGGAAAATATTTTCAAGTTACTCTGCGTTACGTGGGTCTGCTATGCCGTGTTGCTGTGAAGCTGCCAAATAATACCTGGAATACAGTTAAAAGCATGACCTTGGAGGCATATGAGGTGATTGTTCTTCCTCTTCTCAACAGCAAACAAGTACTGTTTTGAGCTGGCAGTGTTAGGTTAACAGTTGGACTCGATGATCTTAAAGGTCTTTTCCAACCTGGATGATTCTATGACTCTGATTCTAAATCAGTTTTGGTCAATGGAGTTTACTTGGACTGAGAGAGCTCTGAAGTCATCCAAAATAAATCAGAATTTTTACACTTAAAATTAGGGTGAAAGTTTCATAAAAGGTTATTTGGTCCAAAGAGGATGGTTGAGTGGCTGCAGAATGGAAGGGACTGCACTGTTCTTCATGTTTGATGGCAGAATAAGAATTAACTTCATTAAACTCTAATAAGGAAGAAAAACTTGTCCAATGTAAGAACAACTAAATAGTGAAATAGACTGTGGAGTTTGATTATAGAAATTTGGACATTAAAGGTTGTATGAGATTTATTTCCCCCTCTTCTTAAATAGGTTGTATACTGTTACATATTGAAACTTTACCTTTGAAGGAACCTTAGGAGGTCATCTGGTTCTCTTTATAAGCTTTAATTTACTGGGGTGAGTGGGGGGTTCTCCCTCACTGAATCACTTCTCTTAACTGCAGGAGAATGGTAGTGGTTCCTTATAAAGTGGTGAGCTGATTTGTTTCTGCAGGAAGTGTCTTGATGAGGAATGTACCTCCCTCTTTGTTAATAGGCGAAAGTGGGAAAGGTGGTGAAATTTCTAGCTGGCAGCTTTCTTGGGATACTCTGTAGGGATTCTTTGAGCTGGTTTTCTGTCTGGTGGCCATTGGTAAAACTTAGGTTTCCAGCTTTTGACTGCTGGACCATGAGACTTGTATGCTCTTGCAGTCTGAATGCTGTACAGGAGAGAGTAGTAAGCAATATGGTTTTAGTCCCTTAAAATTTTTGTTTAAAGTAGTTTGAATAAAATACTAAGATTCCCCTGATTCTCAACCTCTTTGCAATTTGTAGCCTTGAAGTGCAACTTCTTACTGCTTATGAACTTCAGATTCCATAGTTTTATTTTTCCAGCTAATCTGAATTGTAAACTATTTGAGTAATGTGTAAGTGGCACAGAGGAATGTTAGTAGCTGTGGCTTAAAGTGCTGTACAGGAAGAGCTGTATGCTGCACAGATAATGTCTGCCTTTTTTTTGCAGAGGGCTTGTAACCTGAACAGTCCAGAGAAATCGTAGAATCATAGAATGGTTTGGGTTGGAAGGGACTTTACAGATCATCTAGTTCCAACGCCCCTGCCATGGACAGGGACACCTTCCACTACAGTAGGTTGCTTAAAGCCCCATCCAACCTGATCTTGAACATTCCGTGGATGGGGCATCCTCATCTTCTCTGGGCAACCTGTTCCAGCACCTCACCACCCTCATAATGAAGCATTTCTTCCTTATATCTAATCTCAATCTACCTTCTTTTAACTTAAAAGTCCTATCATTCCATGCCCTTGTCAAAGGTCTCTCTCCAGCCTTCTTGTAGGTCTCCTTCAGTTCCGTGAAGGCGGCTCTAAGGTCTCCCTGGAGCCTTGTCTTCTTCAAGCTGAACAGACTTTCCTCATAGGAGAGGTGCTCCATTCCTCGGATCATGTTTGTGACTCTCTCATCTGGACCTATCCTAACAGGTCCACGTCTTTCCTGTGCTCAGGGCTCCAGAGTTGGACACAGGACTCCAGGTGGGGTCTCGCGAGAGCGGAGTAAAGGGACAGAATCACCTCCCTTGACCTGCTGGCCAAGCTGTTGATGCAGCCCAGGATACAGCTGGCCTTCTGGGCTGCAAGCACACATTGGTAGCTCATGTCCAGCTTTTCATCCACCAGTACCCCTAAGTCCAGTTCCTCAGGGCTGCTCTCAATCCACTCTCCGCCCAGCCTGTACTTGTGTTTGGGATTGCCCTGACCCAGGTGCAGGACATTGCACTTGGCCTTATTGAACTTCATGAGGTTCACATGGGCCCACCTCTTAAGCCTGTCTGGGTCGCTCTGGATAGCATCCCTTCCCTCCGGCACATTGACCTCACCACACAGCTTGGTGTTGTCAGAAAACTGTTACCGGGTAGAGTAGGTTAAAAAGCATGCATCTCAAACAGAGTAATCTCAGTGATGACAAAAGAATTGCATGTGTGTGTATATGGTGTCTCTTTTTCTATGGTGCTTTTTTTTTTAGTGTTTTTAACTGGATACTAAAATGGATGAGAAGAAGAATGTGATAGGACTGAGGTGTGGGCAGAAGAGGATTAGGGGAGCATGCGTTAGCTAGAGCTGTAACATAAAGAGGTGGAAGTGAAAAGTCTGTAAGCTGACGGGGGGAAAAGTCCAGATAAAAATTTAAAAAAGTGTGTTCAGAAGTTGCAGTGTCTTCCACCAACTGAATTTGCTGCAAATGGTACATTTTATTAAGCTTCCTTTTTGTCTTGGAAGACTTGAATCCTTATCTGGTAAAAACTTCACAAAACATACATGGTCTGTACTAACAGGGCGTATTACTGAGAACTGTCAATAATTCTTGCTTCTAGCATTGGTGCGTCACTAATGGACTTGTAATAGAAACAGTATGGTAAACTAGTATAAAATACAGGGATTTTTTGTCTGTCCTAGCATATGTTCTGCTTAAATTGATGAAAGTAAAGGCTCTTAATTCAGTGGGGCATTAGGAAAGCATCATTTTAAATGCTTTGTACTGATTTATACTCTGAAATTTTGCCTGTGTTTGTTCCCTTTGCTTAGGGGAAAAAATTTTAGAGGACTTTTGACATTCTTTTTCCTCTGCTGGTGCTGCTGTTTGCCATGGGGTATGGAAGGGAGTTTAATTTTTTTGTTCACGTGGCTTTTCTGCTCTTTTTCAGAAGTAAGAAACTTTTTAGCAAGAAAAAATTGAAAAGGAAACAGAAGACTAAATTGAAAGTAAAAACACGCAACAAGGTAAGTCTGTAACTAACTTGATAAAAATTCTGACTCAGAAATGAAAGTGATTTCAGTTGAGAGAAACAGAAGAAAAAAGAAGTGTAACTAGCAAATTATTGCTTTAGAAAAGATAATAGACCAGCATTGTTTGTCTGTTTAGTGTATTCTACATGACTATGGTACCAATGTTAACCTTATTCAACTGTGTTTACTACTAATGTTCAGCATGAAATAATATGAACAGCATTTTTCGTTCTCCAGTTCCTGAACTGTAAATGTAGCTAAAGGTGTTCGTCTTAATAGTTAAATTTGAAGAGATGCATGTCTAGCCAACAGTTAGAGACTACTGCTGCAATGAGTTCTGTCCATATTGGCCAAAGGAGAAAGGGAACATTCAATGTTGCAAGAATCCGAAGTACCTCTGAAAATTCCTCCATAATGGAATAAATGACACTTAACCTGTTTCTATTAATATTTTCTCACGGTGTAACCCCTGCTCCCATCACTTTAAATGCATGTGAGCAGTACAGTGAACTTCATTAAAATGTTTACATGTTTACTTGTTGCAGAGAAAAAATCTGGGCAGAAGCAACAGTATTTTAAAATACTGCTCTGTTGTATGCTTTTTCTGTTAGAGAGCTATTATTTCTCTGTTTAAGCGAGAGTCTTGGAGGGATTTTCATGAAGGCTCACTGCAGACACAAAGGCTTCTTCCTAGCTTCCCATTGCAGTCAGTAAAGAGAAAGTAGCTCATTTCTGGAGTGTTTCTGAAGGACAGAACTGCTGAAATATCCAGTGAAAACACTTTCTAGTCAGTTGAATGTCCTTATAATAGAAGTACACTGTAAATCAAATTGGCCATCTAATCCCTAGTTGCCAAACCTCATGTAGTTACTCTTATCTTGAGACAGATGACTTTGGGAGGGTGAAGCAAGCCCTGTATCTCTTCATTTGGTATTGCCATTTTGGATACTTACCAGATTGTTCTGCTTATCTCAAGTAGTGCAGCTCCAGACTGTGGTATAGAAGGGGCTTATCTTTGTTTCTGTTCTCAGTACTGTACAGTGAAATATTTCTGGTCCAAACTGAATTTTTCAGCCCTTTCTTCAGTTGCTATAATATTAGAAGTTTTAGCCCTGTTCCCTTCATTATTTTATCAGACCCAGTGTCAACACAGAAAACCCAGTTAGAAATCTAAAGAAATTTTGCAGAATGTAGTTAGTATTTGCGTTTTGTCTGGTGACAGAAACTTGTGCTTTTAAAATAAGAGAACTCTTCAAGTTTGATCGTTGTTACTATATAAAGGGAGCTTTGTCTTTCTGGATTGTGATGCCCTAGTTGAACAGCCAAGTAGGAGGCTAAATCCAGAACTGCTGTTATTCACAAGCTTGGCAGTCAGTTGTGCTTCTTGGATGTAGTTGCGTTGGATAAATACATTGGCAGGATCCCTTCTGAATGGCCAAAGATGACATGAGCGTATTAAAGTGTGGTTCTTGTCGGTAGTTACAGGTTTGGCACTAAGTGATCATCTCTGAACCTCGTGCTTACGGAGGGTGGTTTTCAAGATTTTTTCTTGGATTTAAAACAGCGCCTACTTGAAGCATGAAGTGACATTTATCTCTCCTTAAAATGCATAATGGGTTTTTGTATGTGTTTTACTGATGCCTCTATTCTGGACAGTCTCTGAGGCAGGCCAGGGTTGACCAGCAGAACATTGGCGTTTATTCTGGGTCACTGAGGTACAGAAAGGCACTCCATCTTACTCCTGTGTGATAGCAGGAAGTTGTGGATTTCCTGAAACATGTAACTGAAAAGGGAAAGACAAAACCAGCTTCATATCCTTAGGTTATCAAATTTTGTTTACTGACAAAGTGGGGTGGTTCATTTTCCTTTATTTTGGTTGTTCACTTGTTTTTTTGTTGTTGGCTTGGCTTTTTTTTCCCCCCATATGCTTTTCAGTGCATCCCCATGCTTACCAGTGCATAATAAGCACTGTGATAATTTTTTGCACTGTAATGTCTAAAAACAGATGTGTGTATTGTCAGGAAAACATGAGTTTCCATTTGAAGCCTTATAATAGGACAGACTGAAAAGTCCATGACTACTGGACATTCTGAGCAGGAGAGCTTGTGTGTATCAGTTTGTTTTTTAAGAACCACAATCTTTTACTCTGAGCAGAGATGGGAGCTTTCTCTTAGTATGCTTGGTAGAGGTGGCGGGCGCTTAAATTAAAAATAAGCTGAAGGGACCAAAAAATTTGTTATTTATACCCCGCACTTACTAAAAATGATGATTGAGTAATTGAAGAGGAGAGAACATAAAAGTAATTGTGGAGCAACTGTAATAAAGTTATTTCCATTCTTCAAGCATTAAATGTTATAACATTTTAAGTATGAAACATTAATTAGTGCAGCCCAGTAGTTTGAGCCTTATGCTGTTTGTAAGCTGGGGTCATGTTGTATTCGCTTGTATTTGAACTACTGTTAACTTCTGGTTTTGTGGTTTAGTATCTTTTTTTTTAAATGGAGATATAAAAGTTTTCCATGTGGATGCAGTGTGTTTTGGCTTTAAAATTACAGTGCTGAAAATTATGACCCCCCCCCCCTTTTTTTTTTCTTTCTGTTTTTTTGGCAAGAATTATCACTAGAAAATTGTAGGCTGTAACTTATTTCAACCCTATGAATATTGCTGCTTTCCATCCCTCCCCACTTTTCACCGCCTGGAGTTTTCCACTTTATTGTAAACTCATAAATGTGCTTCTTGGGACACTTAACTGACACTGGATGGAAAGCCAGAGTTTACCATCTTCTGTTCTCATAATGCTATTTAAAGAACACTGAAAAATTGAAGTCCTCCAGAGACAGAGAATGTACTTCCAGTGATTGACATCAACCTGTTTAGTTTATGCAGAAGTTTTAAACTATGACTTGTTCAGCTTTGTACAAATGGGAGGACTAAAACCTAAGGAAAGGATGGTTCATGTAGCATTCAAATTTATCGTAAGCTAATTATTAGATATATAAAGTGGATCAACTGGGATAAATACTTATCTCATTAAAACCACACATAGCTTTTCTGAGAATTTAGCAGTGTTTTCAATGGCTTTTGTATTATTTGGTGTTTCAACCTCAAGAGGGCATCCCTTTCTAAGAGATGTTTGAACTGTTCAAAGAATGCAGTGAGGTTCTATGCTCCATATTGTGCCCTGGTTAGATCAGATGGTTATTATAGCCTTATCTATCTTTAACAACAGATTAACTTTCCGCTCCTAGATTGTAGTCTATTTCCATCAGTTCTCAGAATAAACCATTATTGTAGTCATCTGGTTCAAGGGGAAGGAAATAAATTGGTCAGAAATTGTTATGTATGTTTTTAATCTTTTGGGAAAACAGTTTGTTCAGGTGTGAGACAAGTGTAAGGGAGACCTAAGGATTTTGGTTTTCCCATTTCTTTCCTTGAGTCTGCTGAAACATTACAAAAGGCTGAGAAAAGCACTTTTTTAAAACTATGTTCATGATTCTTTATTTATATTGGCATTGCAATTTCTCAAACTTGCATTTGGTTTTCATTATTCAGGAGTTCAGGATTGAATTATTCTTTCTTCAGGATCTTTAAAAACTTCAAGAGAAAGACTTTTCTAATTTTCATTTTCTAATTTTCTCATTTTTTTTAATGTTTGGAGAACAGCATGCGCTCCTGTTTTGTCTACGTAAAGTACAGAAAACCTTTGTGAGGAATTTGATTAGGCTTATTGCACTCAGATTCTCTATTTATTCGTCTGAAAAAGATGCCTTAGTCCTTCTGACCATTGAAATGACCATTCTTCACTGTTACCTCGTTTTGCATGGTTTCAGCTGAGAATCTCCTTTTTGAAGTTTAATATTGCACATTTTGTAAGAATGACATAATGTTTAAAAATTGCTCTTCCTTTCCACCAAAGTTTAATTTTAGATGTTCTGTCTAGCCCAAAGAAGTTTTTCTAGCACTCAAGACAGAAGATGTGATGAATACTGGGTATCTGTTAAGTTTTACAATGTATATTTCATTATGTGTCTTGATTTAAGAAGGTACATTTTCAATTTATGATGATACCAAGTGAAACAACAAAGAGAGTTTGCAGAATATCCCACTTCCATATAGCTCATATGAAAACCACTAAATCAAAAAACATAATTCTCCTCTCCAGTCTGGAATCTCCATTTTTTTTGAAAGCGGTAGCAATTTCATATTCTGAGAAACAAATGCTTTGGGAGAAAAAAAAATGTAGAGTCCATCATCTTGTCATCTTCTCAGATATGCTAGAAGAAGCTGGGTTTCTGGTCATTCTCATACTTAGTGAGTGCATTGGATTGCAATATTCCAGTAGCCATTAAGAAAAGGACACTTAAAGGTGCAGAAAATATGATTGTTGCTCTTCACCTTATCCACAGTGTCACAGACAGATACTTCATACATTTGTGGATCTCGATACCCTTAACACCAAGAAAACAAACTATTAGGGTAGTTTTTTTCTTGAAATAATGTATCCCATAGCTCAAGAGCAGTCTGGTTGGATTATTACTAATCCTAGATATCTGCAAAATTAATAATTGCTTCACTGGGTTCTTAGAAGTTGATTAACATTTTGGCTTAATGTTCCACTGTTTTCAATGTAGAAGTATTTTATGTCAACGTGAAGTGCAGTGTCATCAAGAGAACTGCGGTAATTTAAAATAGATGTTTTTAGTTAGGTATGAGAATTACTAAGTGGGGTTCTGTAGCCACAGTTAGGGGTTAGATTGTCATAGTGATCTGTTCTACCTCAAAATGTATGAGCCAGTAGCAAGATTGTACAGGTGGTTACATGAATCTCACACTATCAGGGAGGTTTGTAAGGCTGTGTAGAAGAGCGACTCAATGTCTTGGTTCTCATTAGTTGCAGAAAAGGAAATTTCTAGTTGATTATGGGATGAATATAAGCTCCAGTTTCCTAACTTGATCGGTTCATCTGACCTCAAAGAAGTTAGGAATCTGTTGTAATCTGTAAAGGAAAAAATGTTGAAGAAAATAAAAAAGGGGATGAGGAAAGCTGCTCACTGAATGAGCATTTCCATTAGAGGAGTAGAAAGTTTTCATTTTTTTTCTTTTTTTTTTTTTTTTTTTAAAATAAACCAATTTCTTTTTTTTTTTTTTTTTTTAAAATCAGCTCAATCTCTGTCTCTGTAAAAGAAATTAATGAAAGCGATGTTCATACAACCTACTCGTATACCTCTGCTTTTGAACAGATGTTTGTTCTGAAGACCTGGAAACTATAAGTACTATAGTTAAAGCTCCTCAGACTCGAGCAAATTGATCACGAATAAATTGTCAGTGGTTTTTACGTTATGGTGAGGTTTATGGAGAGAGAGGGAGAGAACAATGTGAAGATTGAAAGTTCCCTTGCGACTCTCCAACCAGAAACCATGTGTCTTGTCATTCAGCACCTTTCTTTTGCTTTGAGACATGCTAAGCGTTTGTAGGCTTATACATTTAATTCAGTTTTGGGTTTTTTTTCCCCTCAAATGAAAGACAGTAAACAATGGAAGTCATAATTATCCTTAAATTTTAATCTGTTCCTACAGCCGAACAACTTACTGTTCAGAAAGGGATTTATTTAGCACAGTCATAAGTCCAGTGCTTTGAAACTGACAAGACCAGGTAGTGAATTTCAGTATTATGCTTACGGGACGCTGTTAGGATTGCTACTATATTTTTCAGGTGTATAATAGAGTGGAATATAAGATACTTTGAGTTTTAAAGAATTTGCGATTCTCAGCAATAAGGTATTGTGAAGGGAAAGTGGAGGTATGAACTAAGAAATGTAAACAGTGGATTAACACCACAGCTAGGAATTAAACTCTAGTTCTGAGTTGTATATTGTGCTACACTGTGCAGATAGAGCAGAGTTTTCTGCAGAATGTTGTGCTGTACTGAAGTCTGGGTAGATTGTTCTCTATAGTTTGTGCACTGTTGTCGAAGAGTGAGATACTAAACAGAGATAAAATGGTTAAAGTGCTTACTGTTTAAAAGCTAAAGCATTAGGTAAGGGACTTTTTAATAGTTGCAAAGTGTTGAGAATATGGAAGGAGTTTATTTCTGAAAATTAGTCAGCTTATTATTAATAGGCAAGAAAACATACATTGATATTTTATCTAGCACTGTCATGTCTAAAATTATCTGTGCCATTTAAACAATTTGGCCAACCTATTTCAAAAGAGGCTATGTGAGCTACAGAATGTAGGCTGTTCTGGAACAAAGACTAAGCTGAAGTCCTAACAAGAAAGAACTGGAATGGAAACTCTCGACAGAGTGTATGATACTAATTGGATAAGTGAACTTCAGGTACAGATATTTCAGAGGATCGAGATATTTTTCTCTTCCTGTAACTGTCAGTAAACTATGAAATGCATAGTAAACTTACTAAATAATTTTGGTTTGTTTACTGTGCAGCTCAACTGAGTTAGCTTTAAAGCTGAAAGCTGATATTGTGTGTTTGCCTTAACAGCAGCTGCAAAAACTCTTAGGGGTATATGTATGGATATTTGACATATAGAAGAGTCATATGTTATACCCGTTTAGTTTTCTGGTACCAAATGAATTTTAAAGTATGTAGTAGCTCATTATCATTGATATCAGTCCAAATATATTTTGATGCAGTTTGATACTGGAATAACGTGGGAGTTTGTATCTTGAGTTCTTGCACTGACTAATATTGTGGGTTTTTAACAGCAGCTTTATTATTTCAAAGATGTTCATGTTTAATGAGGACTAAACTTACGTTGTCTTTCAAGCCCTGCTGACAGAAGTCCTGTTGTATTAACAAAAAAAAAACAACAAACCCAAACTTTCAGTGTGCATGTAAGGAACTTTTTCCAGCTTCCCCCCTCCCCATTCTCTCTATATTGTTGTGCTTACTAACACTGACACGAGTAAGAAAAATTAATACACTGTCTGTGTTGGCTAAAATAGGCTACAGAGTAAACCATCAATTCTTAATGTTTTAGCTTGCAATAATTTTGTAGTAATAATGGAAAAGAAGGATATACAAATAAGTACCAGTACAGTTAGAATAATATTATCTTCAAAAATAAAAGGAAATACATAAACTATGAAATATTTTTAAATTATTTTGAATTTTCTGTTGAGTTTTGTAACATATGGTGTCAAATGATCTCATTTAGAAGCTGTGTTATTTCTGGTAATAATTAAAAGATAAGTGCACATAGAAATGTGTTGTGAATCATTACTGTGTTTTGGTGTGCAAAGTAGTGGCTACCATACTGTACGAAAATAAATCATGCCATTAAAATGTTATCCAGTTCACTGGTTCTCCAACTTCTTTCCCCCTCTTCTCTGCTAGTTTAAGGTCCTTTTTCCCATCACTGCTCTCACAGGTGTATGAGTATTTCCACTCTGATCTGTTCCAAAGCACTGCATACTTTCCTGCCAAATGAACGTGATCATTCACAATATCTATCCCCCTTAACTAAAGACAGAAAAAGACAAAAAGCCTCCACCCTCACCACCCCTCAAAAAACAGCAAATAAACCAAAATAACCTTGTGCATTTAGTCATGACCCTGACTCGGTCTAGCCTAATCCCCCTCCAAATTTTACCTTCTGTGTTCAAGCAAATTTGTCCTGCACTCTTAACCTAGGCCTCCCCTCCTTATTTGGTCTCTTTGCCCCCTGTCTATGCCAAGATACTATAGGGAATTGCTTCCTCCCCTATGACTGAAGTCCAGTTTTTCATAGCCTGTGCTCACACCAGCTTAGTCTTTGGTAGTACACAACCGAAGAGAACGTATAACCCTGCCTGGGGATTTTTTGTTGTTGTTGTGGGGTTTTGTTTGGTTTTTTCTTTTTAAGTCTCCAGTTCCTCCTGTCCCATCTTACTGTTCCAGAAAGGGAGAGTATGGGCCAGAATTTTAAGACTTTAAAAAAAAAAAGGTTTTTCTTAATATTTCTCCGAGTCTAATGACAGCCTCCTGAATGCTTCTCTGTGTCTTGGCAGTGGCTGACAGTAATATACCAGTAGTAGATACCAAGGAAAGGGTAGCGGTAGTGTAAGGGCATGGGTAGTGTTAGTTTCTCCCAGCTCTTACTGTGTGGCTCAGAGCTTCTGAAAACAGGATGGTGTCCTTTTGCTTCATAGGCCTTGATAGATTTTTGTATTCTTGTCCATTAGGTTTAAATTTTTTTTCTATTTGTACAAAGTTATTGTCCACAGCATCCTACGGGGGGGGGCTGAAGTTTTTGAACCTGCCAACTATTTTCATTTAATTGACATAACAACTAATGGCATTTTTAATTTCTGATACACATTTAGCAAACATTTAAATTTTTATTATTTACCAATAGATTAAAATTAACAACTAGCATAACACACAATGAATTTTAAAATTCAGTAATAATAATTAAAATAACCCAAACAATTGATTCCTGTTTAGAAGATAAATCCTGAATTCTGCTAGTCTTTTGACTGTGGCACAGGTTTGGACCACTCTGTAGCCTGAGCTGCTTTCATTTTCCATCCTAGTGTCCTCATCAAGTTATGAGAGGTAGAGTCTAAAGCCAGATACTGAAATTTCTTCCTATGCCTCCTTTCTTCCCTGCCTGAAATATAATTGGTACTTCAACAGGAAAGTTCAGTCTCCAGTTTGAGAATCATTTGGTTGGCCATAATTATTGAGACTGTTAAGATTACTTAGATTTAGCAAAGCTTGAAACTTCTAATAAACTTGAAATGAATCTTGTTTTTCAGACTGAAAACCTAGAAAGTACGATAACTATACCAGATATCAGATTACATAGCAACCCTTCAGCTTTTAATGTTTACTGCAATGTCCGCCATTGTGTGTTGGAGTGGCAAAAAAAGGAAGCATCTGTATCTTTGGCTTCAAAGAACAGTGTACAGAGTGGGGATTCGGACAGTGACGAAGAGGAGGAATCCAAAGAGCCGCCTATTAAACTTCCAAAGGCAAGTAACTGGATACTGTTTATAGTATGCCATGTATGTGATCTAAAGTTGGTATGCTTTTTATGGGGAATAAAGAACAGCGTTATAAGGCAGCTGCTCAGAAAATAGGTACATTTTTTATTGTAGTCTATCTAGCCCAGAATCCACTGATTTGGTGAAGTAGGAAGATCTATGTACTGCCCAGTAATTAATTTTAAAGTCAATTAAATGTCAGGTAAATGTTCAACTTGCACTTCTTTATTAGTACTGGTACTTGAAAATAATCTACAACCTCAAAAGTCTACACAGAATGCAAATAAGGCAGCTCTTGTGTCTCTTAGAAGCTACTAGCTGGTAGTGATAAAGGGTGCTTTCTCTTGCTTTAAATCCCAAAAGAACAAATCTTTCTGCTATTGGAATTCAGTCGGTGGAGTGTTTTCTAAGATGATTTGCCAGGTATACATGTAATTGCAGTAACTGTCAATTATTCTTACTACCTTAGTTTTTTATTCTTTCCGTTTTTTGGCTTTAGTGCCTTTTGGCACTGATAACTATAGTTAATAATGTATGTTAAGGTTTTGGACGCTGTAGTTCAACAATTAGGGTAGGTTTTTTACTATTTGCTACTTCTATGCTTATAGTAGGATTAATGGTGGAAAGTACAAAATAATTATGTAGGAGTTAACTATTTTTTCTTTTTTTTAATTTTTAGTTGCTTGGAAAATTAGAATTTTATAGATGATTGTATTTTATGTGGTATTATCTGAAGGGCAAAGTTGGCACTCTAAATAGTGGTGGAGAATTGCAGAGGAACATAATCAAGTCAGGCAACTGCAACTTGATGACTGAAATCATCAGTTGATAGTCGCAAAATAGTGTGCAGTCAGTAGAAATAAAATTAGCATTGTTTATGAACTGCATCTGACCCCTTGTGGATGGTATGAAGTGAATCAGCAAGTTCCTGTATATGCTTAATTTGAAGTTTTGAGTAAAAGGTAATGTAGCTATTAGCATTTATAAAGAAAGGGATGGATTTTTAAAGGCATTTTGAAGTTAAAAGATGTTTAAAGAAGGATGAGATTTACCAGTGATATGGACAGAACACTTGCATGTGGAAACTGAAACGCTGGTGGTGTTAGAGATGTTGGAGAGTGTATCAAAAAGAGACTTGGAAAAGTGGTGCAGTTTTAAAAAGATGGTGTCTTAGAACAAATGGTGGGGAAACCCTAGGTGGGAAACTACTCTCAAAACAGAAACTCAGTGAGCTATTTTGTTACATTTAATACAGCAAATATAAAATTGATGAAAATCAGTATGCCTTCGAAGTATTAATTTTAGCAAAGAATCTACAAAATATCCAGTGGTATATTATGGTCTAATTCTTATGTATAGTGAACAATACTGGATTGGGCTTAAGTCTGTTAAATATAAAGAAGAAAGATATTGAAGTTTCTATTACTTACAGTATTTACTAGACCAATTTCTGAAAGTAATCATTAGCTTCTGGAAAAGAATACTGATGTCTTTTGAAAGTCAGATTCAAAGAAAGGTGTAAGCAGGATTTGTGCTTTGCCAGATTCTCCAGAGTTAAACTGGTGAAGTTCTCGGTGTGGTGTTTTTTTCTTTTTTTTTTAATTGAGAATGAATTGAAAACATCGTACTTTTTATGCAGCTTAGGTGTTCTACTGAAGTACCTTTTTTTTAAATTTTAAACTTGAGGAAGTCAGGTTTGTTAGAGCTATTATTTAGAGTATATTTCAGAATTAATTGTCCTATGCAATTTCTGTAACAAGATTGAGAACAATTGTTTTTAACAATTGTTAAAAGAGACACAGAGACATGATTTGCTGGTCTTTGGATATTAGCACAATAAAGTTTGTATTTTGGTTGTGCTCAGACAATTTAGTAACTTGCTTTAATATTTTTAAATTTTTGATTTTACATGAAGTATTTATCTTTGCCTGACTTATTTATTTAGTACCATGTTTATGTAGTACCTTTGATAATGACGGGAAATTTTTTCTTCTTGAAATAGGGCAGATTCAGTTCTACTGATTTGATTTGCAGTTGCTTCCCACCCCCATATTAAACTTAGCACTGGGTTATGGATGATCCACAAAAGCCCTGTGCTAAAATGAACAAATGCTGGATTAAGGTGGAATTAACCGAGTAAATGTTCTTTGTTCCTGCAGTGGCATACTTCTTGCTGTTTAGCTAACGAGCTTAAGCAAAAATGAAAATTTTCAAGTTGTAACAAAAAGAAAAATAATTACTCTTTAGAAACTGACTTTAAGTCTTATAAAATTCTTGAGGAGAATGTGTTTTGTAAAGTACTTTCTGTATGTGTTTAATGTATAAATTAAAGCAGAGAATTAAGTGTACTGAGTATTACTATTTATTTATTATTAAATAAACATAGAAATGTAGGTATTGGGTAATTATGAGAGAGGGAAGACAAAGGAAATAAATCAACATTGTAGATAAGACTTCTTGAATAAATAGGTTTTTCTGAGGAATTAATTACGGGTCATAATGTCTGCATCCAGGCTAGAATTTGTTTACCCTTCGTAATGTGGGCTTAAGCTTTTGATCCAAAGTCTCAAAGATGTTACAGAGGGAACAGGGGGATGGCTGCATGGAGAGCATCAGTAAGAGCTGGCAGGCTGTGACACACAGACTTGAGTCTGCAGCAGTGTTTTTTTGGCTCAGAGACCCTTCGGAGAGCAGAGAGAGCAAGCTTAAGATGTTCTGAAAAGAACGGTTTGCTTATTCTGTCCTTCAGTGTACAATTTGGAGGGCTCTGCTCTTGACAGAAACACATGGCGAAATTTTGAAGATATGATTGCTTATTTGTAATGAGTTAACTGATCACTTTCATCCTCATTATTACTACATAGTGAGTTTGAGAAGGATGTGAAAGGAACAGTCAGTGGAGAGAGGCATAATTGTAATCTCATAATACTCAGGAGTGCCAGAAGGGAAAGTTAGGAGTGGCTGTAACAACACTCTTAAAGATACTGTATTAGTTGCCATATTGCGTGTCTGTGATGAGTATGTATAGAGTTTTAGTGACAAGTGATTAATCTTTATTTTTTGTGACAAAAAATAAAATCTCAGAGGCTTTGGAGGGGAAAGTACTAGTGCTACCAGTATCAGCTGTCAAATGTATCATTGCTCAAGTTGGGAAGTCAGGTTGCAAGCCAATTCTAGCTTGCTGGTTCACATTAGAGAGCAAGCAAAAAGGAAAAAGAGGTCTGTCAAAGTGTGAACTCAATAGAAATTGGAAGGGCCCAGAGGCACAGCGTGTCTTACATTGTCCAAAAATGTTTAAGTTTCCCTATATTTTCAGGGGAGTAATACTCTACTTACATATGCTCTTTCATATAGTGACAATACTTCTGTGTAATATTTGCTGGTACAGCTGTGTAGGTGGGTTCTTCATTTTGATTCGCTTTTGAATTACCATCGTATTCTGTATTACATTTTTGTTATTCAAATAACTGTCGTTCTGTGAACACTGGGGTGTACCTTAAATGATGAAGATCCAAAAAAATTATATTAACAGATATTCTGAAATACCTGTACTTCTTTAGATCATTGAAGTCGGATTATGTGAAGTCTTTGAACTGATAAAGGAGACAAGATTTTCTCATCCATCCTTGTGTCTCAGGAGCTTACAAGCGCTACTTAATGTGCTCCAGGGCCAGCAACCAGAAGGCCTGCAATCAGAGCCCCCTGAAGTCCTAGGTAATATCTCACCGGTTACTGTGTTTGTATTGATATACATCTGTTATTGTATGGGACAGAAGAAAATGGTTCCTAGCGAGTATTTGTGAGTTAGTAACATGCTTGTTCTCAGCAGACTGACTTTATTCTGGGGTATAAACTCCTTATGGTGTGTGTAATCAGTACTTTCTCAGCATTAATCTTTTGTAGAACAGGAATATTGTCGTGTAAAGTTATATATATATATATATATATGTTTTAAAAAGTCATGTTTTGTTGCTGTGTAATGCAGAGTTTCACTGAAACATAGTAAACCTTACAACCTTATAAATAGTAATTTATTTGTCTTACTGAAGAAATAAAATAATTGGTCTTATTGGAAAGAAGATAGTTCTATAGCGAACTCCTCTTGCGATCTGCTGTTGTAATCTGTAGCTTAGACATTGAATGGTGTAATTTATAGAAAACTGCTAAACAAAGTGTCAGAATTCTTGCCTTTATTTCCTCTGGCCATCAGAAAGTTTCCCTGAAAATTCATTTTGCTTTTAATGATACTGAAAATAAAAGTTGAACACCTGATGGCTTTGGGTGTGCCCTCAGGAAGTTTGCTGATGACACCAAACTGGGAGGAGTGGTGGATACACTGTAAGGCTGTGCTGCCATTCAGTGAGAGTTGGGCACAGATGAACCTGATGAGGTTCAACAAGGCCAAGTGCAGGGTCCTGCACCTGGGGAGTAACAACCCCATGCATTAGTACAGGCTTGGGGCTGACCTGCTGGAGTGCAGCTCTGCAGAGAGGGACCTGGGTGTCCTGGTGGATGACAGGTTGACCATGAGCCAGCAGTGTGCCCTCGCTGCCAAGAAGGCCAGTGGGATCCTGGGGTGCATTAGCAGGAGTGTGAAATATCTGAAGGGTGTGTGTCAGGAGGATGGGGCCAAGCTCTTTTCAGTGGTGCCCAGTGACAGGACAAGGGGCAATGGGCACAAACTGAGGCACAGGAAGTTCCGTCTGAACATGAGGAAGAACTTCTTCCCTCTGAGGGTGACGGAGTACTGGAATAGGCGCCCAGGGAGGTTGTGGAGTCTCCTTCTCTGGAAATATTCAAGACCCGCCTGGACAAGGTCCTGTGCAGCCTGCTGTAGGTGACCCTGCTTTGGCAGGAGGGTTGGACTAGATGACCCACAGAGGTCCCTTCCAACCCCCAACATTCTGTGATTCTGTATGATTATGTCCTTTAAGTTAAAATCCAATTATCGTTTGTTAACTCCTAGTTTTTACTGGTTTATAGAACTGCAAGGGAGGCTAGGCTGTAGCATCTGTTGTTTAAAAATAAAAATAAGTAAGTATCTCTGAAGACTTTCTATGTATGTTTTCGTATGTTGTGGCTTGACTGAATTTTATTTCCAAAGATGACAGTAATTTGCTGCAGAAAGTTTTTATTTTGTATTGACGCACAGACTATTAAAAAGCTGTGAAGAAGGCTTTGTTTTGGTTACTGCCCTAGTGATTATTTGTATGTACTGTCAAAAAAATTGATGTGGATTTCTGGTTGCACCTTGATAGTTACAGATGTTCAGCCGCGAAACAGTGCTTGAAAAGAGGCATACAATCAAAATAACGTTCAAGCTTTGACTTGAAATACTCGTTTCTGAAAAATGGGATGTGCTTCAACATGGGAAATGGTCGTAAAGATTAGGCAAGGTTGGTCAAGACCTACTCATCACCTCAGTGATGAGGTAGACTGAACAGGCAGGTAGAGTAACTCCTCCTGGCCCATTGTTTATTACTGTGTTCCACTGTAACAGAAGGACGTAGTTTTTCTTGTTCTTGTGCCATTGTGATTATCAAGACTTGACATTTCCTGGCTGAAAATGAATGAAAAGTTAAGGATATTGTACGTCTGTTTAAGTGGGATGCTTTCTTTTCTGTCTGGAAATAAGGCTAAACTTAATGGCTGAGGAAAGATGTGTCATGTATTATGCAAGTTTAATTTCTCATTGACTGGCAAATTGCTTGGTATGATTTTGTGACTTGTCTGTGTAATTGTTGTTTTTTTTGCAGAATCCCTGTTCCAACTTCTTCTGGAGATAACTGTCCGTAGCACGGGAATGAATGACAGTACAGGACAGTCCTTGACAGCACTTTCCTGCGCTTGCCTCTTCAGTTTGGTAGCTGCATGGGGAGAGACAGGAAGAACGTTGCAAGCAATCTCTGCTATCCTCACCAATAATGGCAGCCATGCTTGCCAGACTATTCAGGTCTTGCACTAAGACTTCTCTGTATCTGGGAATTTGTGTAAATGATGTGTACATGAGTTCTGAAAAGATCTACTGTGTAGATTCAGTTACCTTTTTTTTCCTTCACTGTTTGTGAGATGAGTAGCTATTTCTTTGTCTCTCAAGTTGGAGATAGAGCAGAAAATACAACAAAATAAAAATAGATATGCTTTTCTCTCGCTCAACTGTTTCTTTTGTTGTTTAGGTGCCAACCATTTTAAACTCTCTTCAGCGGAGTGTACAGGCAGTTCTGGTGGGCAAAATCCAAATCCAGGACTGGTTCAGTAATGGGATAAAGAAGGCAGCCTTGATGCACAAGTGGTTATTGAAGGAAATATCTGTAGATGAAGATGACCAGTGCCTACTTCAGAGTGATGGGTTTTTCCTCTATCTCTTATGTAAAGATGGACTTTACAAAATTGGCTCTGGATATAGTGGGACAGTGCGGGTAATGTGATTTCTTGTTGTCTGATAAGTCTTGGTTAAAATATTAACTTTTTATGATGTCCTGTTTCCGTTGAGAATCACTTGTAGCTTACTAATGATTGGTTCTTTTACAGTTTGTCAAAATTTTTCTGATGATTTCTATGAGAATTTTACAGCAGTTTCTTATAATTTTCACGTCTCAGTGTGGTTGAAGACATTATTATTTAGATGGTAAATGATTATGTGTAAAATTGTCACTCTGTTATTTGTAAATGATTGGAGTTTTTTGCTTTTCAGGGCCATATATATAATTCTACATCCCGCATCAAAAACAGGAAGGAAAAAAAGTCTTGGTTAGGCTATGCTCAGGTAGGTGGATACTTAAAATGTGAAATGTGCTCCCCACCCACCATCCCTCATGAGTAATTTAATTAGTCCTTGTCTTAGAGTAAGCTTACAAGATACTGTGGCACTTTGGCTTTAGTTATAAAAATCATTCTCTTGGTACTGACTTTTAGATTGTGGAAGATGAGGAACGTCTGATGGTACTGGCAAGTAGAAAGGAGTAATGAAAAGTGTCATTGATTTGGGTTGTTGCTGTAAAGACTTTCTCAAAATATGGTGGTTTAACTCGTAAATTTATGAATTGTACAGTCCATTGATGTATGCTTCTCAAATAAAGAAGTTGGCTGTAAAAATACGTTGTTGCAACAAAATAATGTAAAAAATACTCAAAAATACCTGTTTTTGAAAGTAAATTGATTTTAAAACATTTGCAGTAGAATAAGGAAGTGCTGTTTTGGTTGGGGGATGATTGAGGGTGTGTAAACCATAAGCAGATATAGTTGTTGATGTTACCATTGCAGAGTTAACTAATTTGGATGTCTGGGTTTTTTTGAAGTCAGTCAATTTCTGGAATATTAATCACCTTTTCTTGGAGCTTTGCTGTTCATTATTAAAATAGTGGGGCTTTTTAGAATCCTGTTACTGCCACTGAGTGCACTCTCTCAAAAAAAAACCAACCAAAAACCCCACAACAAACCAGAAATTAAATATCAGAGAACAATTAATTTATTTTTTAACTTCTGGGCAATTTTTATTGTATCTTTACTATTAAGTGAGTGATCTCATTTTTCCAGTGTGAAATCAAGTGTACTCCTTGCTGTGCTTTTGAAGTTCTATTTTTCATTACAAGTGTATATTCTATTATTACAGTCACTGTATATGTACATGAAATCTGGTTTTGTTTAGTGTTAAAACAGATCACCAAAAGGTATACTGGCGCGATACAAATGTGTGTGGACACATTCATTCAGGAGCCTGTTTGGAAAGGAATAGGATCCATATAGTTTCATGATATAGAGTTGCACATTTGGACATTCTGTACATAGCTATAAATATTTTTGACGTTGTTCTTTGAGTGCTTGTACAAGTGTATATGCACTCACTCATTGACTGTACCCAAAGGCACTGCTAGTTGGAAGAATGTCACTCTGGGGATGTATTTATAGGAAGATGTGTAAGGTGCACTTATTGCTAAGTGTGTGTCCAGAAAAGAGCTAAGGTGTGCCCTCAGTCTCATTTCTCTTCGGGTGCTTGGCTAAGCTCAAATGCCAGCGATTTTTCTTACTTCATCGTAGAAGTTGTTTTAGACTGAAGCTTTTCTGTCTACTTTAATGCTCTTTTACTTATTTATCCTAGTTGGTGTGGATTTGTTTTTTCTCATTTCAGAGATTGATTTATTCAGGAAAATTTGAGTAGTTTAGATGCAAGGTAAAGGGTTGGATGGATTTTTTTACTGCTGTTAGATGCCTGCAATTAGAGTCTCTTGACTCTTTGATGAATTAAGATATTCTGAGGTTAAGCCTTAGTGACCTACGTGTGAAGCGCATCTATTCTTAGATGTGTAGAATCACCACCTGAGGCCAGTCGTGCTTCAAGCAAGCCATTGTCATATCTCCTGGTGTGACACTGCTGTTGTCAGAATAGTTACTTAGTCATTATTCATACTGGCCTCTGCAACTCTCCTGTAGGTGAATACTACTTTACTTGGCCTTAGCCACTTTGAATGAGTATGTTCGTAAGTGCCTTTAATCTTTTTCCTTTCCTGTAGCTGCTTTTACAGCAGAAGTGCTTTCTAAGTGTGAATTCCCAACTGCATTTCTGCCCTGCTCCCTCAAAATCGTTGAAGGATTTACAGGCATTGTAGGATCAAAAAACATATGAGAGCAAAGTTGCTATATTGCTTCTCTTACAGGTCTGTGCACGTTATGCAAAAAAGCAGGGGCTTATGCAACCTATCTAGTTTAAGCTAGAGCAAAACTTACTTGACTGTGTGTTTAAAAGTGCACTCAGAGTTACAGGTGTAAACATAAACCTCAAATGTGAGTTTCAGGTAGGCAAATCTTTTTACTGAGAAACCTTTGAAACTGGTGACTGAATCAAACCTTTGAAAAATATGTGTGTATGAACAGAGAGAAAATACTGTTTTGGTATACCGAAGGAGACTTCTTGATGGGGGCTGCTGACCAGAATAGGTAATTTTGGGCAAATGAAAGTATTCCGCACGTGGAGAAACAGAAAGAGGAAATCATTAGTCCTGAGTATCTCCCTTCCCCTAGGCCTGGTTAGGAGCTGGGAGGGGAGCAGTACAAGAACTCATTGTATGTAACTTTGTATGTAACATTGTGTCATGACTGCTGCCACCAATATCACCATATACTTTGCAGGAGTTCCTTTGATGAAGAGCTCAGAAAAAATAAATATATGGAAACTTGTTAGTGTGGGAGTCAAAGTAGTCAATATTTTTGAAAAATTATCTAGTTTTTAATGCACATATTAATAGTCAGTAATGATCACTTTTCTGTATAGGGCAGTATATGTATCTCCTTCCTGGAATTCCTGATAATCTTTTGTTGATTTGGAAAGTGGGGACGGGAACATGGTTTTTACTGTGGCTGTGGCTTTTAACTATAATTGTATACATGTATGAAGAACAGAATTACTACATGTGGCTTCAAAAGCTGTACACAAGCATGATTTACAGCATGTGGAAAGTGTGAAGGAAGGGGGTCAAATTTCCAGTTTTTATTGCAGAATTTGATTAGTTGAAAAAAGTCAAAATGAAGCAAAGTTGATGTAAAAGATTTCCAAAATTTGTGAACAATACCTAAAATAATAATTGCACTATTTTCACTTTTGACAATATTGTTTGATGTATTTAATAATATTTTGACACCATCATATATATATTTTTACTCTTACCAGGGTTATTTATTGTATAGAGATGCACATAATCACAGTATGACAGCCATAAGAATAAACCCTGAAACTCTGGAACAAGACGGTACAGTTGCTTTGCCAGGTATGAACCTCCAGATACGAGAAGATGGTTATAGTTTACTGTTTACATGCTATGTATTTTCAGGTAAGCAGAAGAGAAATTGAGATAGATTTTGAGATCCCAAAGAGACTGCTTTTTTATGTCTCAGGTTTGCTGTATTAGACCAGCTGCAGTATTTCATTCAGAGGTCTTGCATCTTACTCCAACCACTGGAAGAATATTGCAACATTTTAGAATGTATGGTCATCTTAATTCAAAGAGTCCAAGAGTTAACTTCCTTCTTAAGGAATTTTTGTTTCTTCCTCTTTGAACTTTGTGCATTTGGCTCAGATGTGACTTTGTTTCCAGTATCTCTTACATGTGGGTAGTTACAAACTATGACCAAAACCATTTGGTTTTTAATAAAAGTAGAAATGTATTGAAATAGCAAAGGTGGCTAATGAACACTGATGGACCATGCTTCTGGTGTTTAAATTGGTGGTGGGTTTTTGTTTATTTGTTCTGGGATTTTTTTTTTGTGGTTTTGTTTTTGTTTAGGTTTTTTTGCAGAGGAGCCTCATAACTTGGGTCTTTGTTTAGAAAATGAAGGTGTTCCTGGAACTTACTTTAATGGCCTCCTGGTGAAACATATCTGTTCTTAGCCACTCACATGAAGAGTAGAAGAGCACAAGAATATCTTTCGATCAGTGACAGGCTTATTCTATAGTTCAGAAGAAAGATTTTGTGTTGCATCCTGGCGTAAATAAGGAGGCACTGACTGATGCTTAGAAAACTTCTCTAGGCTTTCTGTATTTCAAACAGAAGCAGTGATTTTTGAAGGAAACTATGAATCTAGTCTATGCAACTTTCTTCAAGTCCTTAAAATGTGGATGGCCATTAAAGCTGGTTGGTCTTTGTGGGGCTGTATGAGAAATTTGACTGAGAGTACGTTCAAGGACCTGACAAATTGCCTTGTCAGGTGGTTTTTCCACTTCCTTCAAGGCAGCTTCTTCAACCAGTAAGGTCCTTTGAGCTCTTTAATTGTGTTACCATTGGTAAACAAATCAGTGCTCTTCATGCAAATCTTGAGAGACACGTGAGCACATTTAAAGTCTACACCTCTGAGCTGTTAGCTTGCTTTTGCAAATCTCAGTGGCAAGTGTCATTCTGCAAGACAGCCTTGTGTTTATACTATAAAAAGGCACAAATGAAACAAGAGTGTGCCTTATAAACAAAAATGTATTAATCTTTCAGTGCAAAAGCAAATCTTATAACTGTGGGAATACCCATTCAGAAATTCCTCAAACTGTTTCACACAGTTGCGTTTCATATGGTTTGTGATGGTGTCAAAGTGGATGTTAAATGTTCTTCATAACTACTACCCCTTGTATTTCAGCCCTTGAACTTTGCTGTTTTACTTTCTGCATTTTTACAGATTTATCTTGGTGTTACATTGTGAGCAGATAAGGCCTTGTTCTTTTGGCTAGGACAAATTCAAAGGGGTTCACTTCTGGTTATTTCCATTTAACATTAGAAGGAAAGAAATGAAGGTGGGGGGAGAGTATGTGACCTATCCTGAGGAAACTTGAGTAGATACATAACTCTACAGTAGTGCAGCCACTACTAGTTAAACTTAATAATGACTTGCAGTATGTTGTAGTTCTGAAAACCACACCGGATAGAACTAGAGGGCAGTAAGCTTGCTAACAGCTGAAGAGTGATAAGACTCCAAGTATTTCCTCCTTCTTGATATGGTATTCAGACATGGCTCTGTCTGGAGCTAATCTCTTTCACATGCCTGGCTTGGTGATAATGCATTTAAATAAGGTATTCTTATTCGTACAGGGCTGCACAGGAGATTAGGAGTTCATTAGGAGATGTGATTAGGAGTTGATCCCAGCGAGAAGTCATATGACCTTAGAAAACTCAGTGAACTATGGAACATTCTCTTCTCCTTGCTCAGACAGTAGGATCCACCAGCTTCTTGAAACCATAAACTTCTATTTCAAAGGACATTCTTTCCACTCTGATAGATGATCTAGCAAATCTGGAACTACCAGCCTGAGTGTCAGCATTCTTGTATCTAATGCTTTTGCCAAGCTTCATACACTGTCGTTGAGCTGTGGATATGTCTTCCCAGTCCAAATATCATAAAAAATCACTGAGTTCTATGACATTTTCTAGATGATTGGACCTCAATTTACAGAGGAGGTTTTCATCTTGACTGTTTCTTTAACAGTAATGCTTACAACATATCTTAAAAAAAAGGTTCCTGTGTTCAGCTGAAGAGGTTGAAGTTTATATGGGGTGTGGTTTCATTGTTCATTGAAATTACACATGAATATCTTGGAGCTCAGGCTATTTACTTAGTCTGAAAAGTACTGCTGAGGTAGCCTAGACAAGCTGCAGAGTACTTATTAACAGGCACACGATGCACTATATGTAAATACAGAAGGTGATACTTAACAGTCATTTTCTCTTGAAACCTCTGAAGAGGCTGTGATTAGCAGGTGTCTGTAGTTATGTCCTTTAAGTAAAACATAAGCCCATTCTGTTATAGTAATGTCCAGACAGAAACCTTGGATATCTTCCCCAGAGTAATTTCCAAAGTCAGACTGAATAAGATTACTGTTGATCATAAGAGCTCCTTGCTAGCTGAGACACTATACTGCCCTGCTTTTGCAGATATTCCATTTACCTTCTGTTTTCTAGTTTCCCCGTTAATTTGATACTTACTGCTGGGCCTGGATATTGTCTAATGAAGAGCTAGTTTTTAGGAAGTCTTCTGAAGAACATACATCAAAATGTTTCTTTAAAAAAAAAAAAAAAAAAAATATCTCTGTTCCAGATTTTCTCTATGAAAAGACCTGCCAAACATATAAGCAACAACAAAAAATGTTTACTGGGAGGCTCACCTCTGCTTGAAATGGCTCAAGAAATAGGTCAGTGTGATATGGACCTACTGGCAGCCAGAATATCCTGTTTCCTTGAGTGTTATGCTTATGCGAGCATGTAATTTTCAGCCATTCAAGGGATCTTAATACTTACTACTTTCGTATAACCTTTCCGAAATGTAATTTAGATTATTTTTGGATCTTCTGTTGAAGTTACTGACAGCTCTTATGTTTTACCGTTAATATCACTTTGCAGCATAAAGAATTAGTAACATGAACTGACTTTGGTCGTTAAATCCAAGGCACTTTTTGAGAGAGCAATGTTTCAGACTGCAGTGTATCTGCCATTCTCCGTCCTGCGTGCTGCTTACCCTCTCTGTGATTCATACCTGCCGTGCTCTGAGGGGGAGGCTGTCTGCTGTAGGTCTGTAACTTCAACGTGTGACAATTAGAGAAGGCCACCTAATGCATATTCCATTCCTGGTAACATACTGTATTGGACCAGGCAGTATAGCCGAAAAAAGTAAACAAGTTGATGGGTTTGTGAATACTGTGGGGTTTTTTCAGCTGTATTGTGTTTACTGGGTAAGTAGCAAAAAATAGCAGACTTGCTGGTTATGTCAGAAGGATATTATGCATGCTTCATTTAGCATTGTATTTGTTCAACAAAATAACTGATACTAGATCTTTTTTCAGGTTATGAGGCAGATGTTTAGAGTGTAAAGTAGCTATCCTGTAATATTTTTGGAAGAGGTCTCTGTGTAGTCAATGAAACAAGCACCTTACAAGCCATATAAAATCAATCTCTTTGTTAGTAGCTCCGTCAGCAGAGGAGGAAGGGAAGAAGAGATGGTGTAGGGACATACTTTTAAACTTGTAGAGTTTCTTTTTTCCTTCCTAAGAAGGGCAGAATTCTTTCCCAACCTCTTTTTCTCAGAAATAGCTGACCTGTTTTCAGTAAACGTGTGATGCATTCGCGTATATGCTTTATAGTTTTCGAGAAAACCTGGATTTTCAATCAGTAGTTTGGTGAAATTCATAAACAATGGAAAAAATGAGATGAATAATGAAAATTTTGATTCTGTTTATTTCTGTAGGTTTTATGTACTGGACTGAGGAAACTTTTCTGTAAAGATAATGGCCCTTACTTCAAAAAAAAAAAAAACCACCCCAAAAAACCCAAAAAAAACCCAAAAAACCAAGGCTGTGTGGAAGGAGGAAGACTAACACGCCTAAAAAAAGTAGAGCGTAATTGTATTATAATAGTTTAGAATACCCCTCGCAGGTGAATACTGACTGCCTTTGCAGTTAAATGTTGGGGTAACTCATACATTTCATAAAATGGAAAGTGCTCTAATAACTCTTAAAGGAACAAAGAAGTATTATATGCTTTTTATGAGAGAGGAGATCCTAGCATACAATATCAGAACACTGTGATCTCTCTTTGGAACTCTCGTAGTCTGATTGTAGTGAGAATGAATTAGACAGAAGCAGAGAACAGTTGTATGTGTGTTCATATAAACTAATGCAGTACACTTCATCTTTCTCTCACAGATTGTCGTACTGAAGGGCAGAATATCCTTTTCACTGATGGTGAATATATTAATCAAATAGCTGCATCTAGAGATGTAAGTGTTACCTATGATGGGCAAACTATTCTTCTCAACTGAATCATTTTACTTTACAATACTTACAGCTCCCTTTTTGCTTAATGTTTGGTTTTTTTTTCGCTAACATAACTAAGGAAGAAATCCATGTAACTAGAGAAAATGAGAAACTGCCATGTTTGTGTATAAAGGAGCAGTATTTTGGTATTTATCCACACAATTTTGATTTGTGATGGATTTTTCAGATTTTTTTTTTTATTTTTCAGAGAAGTTTTAAAGAAGGACTTTGCTCTTTTGGAGGAAAAAATCTTATACATGGAATAATGGCTTTTTAACATGTTATTCTACGGGGTGTCTGTGGGATAAGTTTCTTGGAGCTTAATTATAATATTTTTTTTCTAATTTGATTTCCTGTAGTTGCTTTGGTACTTGTTGGGGAATTTCAGCCAGATTTAGTAGAAGAGGTGTGAAAGATACTACATTCCAATAGGTTTTTGTATGAAAAGTGCATATTGGCCAAAGTTGTGGAAATCCGAATATGTGCTTCTGCTAGGGACAAAACAGTTGTAGCTGTTCTATGTTTTGTTTGGCAAACAGTTATTACATTCTTAGTTCTGGAGTGGTCAATGTTTTTTAACATTGAGAAAGCTGTAAACCAGGGATGGGGCAGGAGTGGGGTGAGACAGTGTTGGCAAGAGATGCCAGACATGCAACTGTAACAAAATCATGATTAATCCATTTTGCTGCTAACAAAACAATTTTTTTTTTTCACGTGGCCAGATGAAGACACTTCATCTGCACTTGTAAACAGAATCCTGTTTTAGGTACTCGTCAAAGCACTCACTGTTAAAACTGCATGCACGCTTTTGGGTTCTGAATCAGGAGAGGTTGAGGGCTTAGAAGATAGATGTAAATAGTTATAAAAGCAAGATTCTGTAGTGAAGTTCAGAGTTAACTATTTCCATAGCAACTGACTATTTTCATGGCGTTTTCATAGAATTCAGTGTATGTTTAAGATCTGTCAGAGGCTTATCTTCAGCTCATCCAGTTTGGCAATTTCTTCTTTTCTCTATAATAAATGTTACTTTATTAATGTGTCCTCTGATGATTTACTCTGAAATAGTAATATACTGATGCACGTAGGCAATGATAAGTAAGTTAGTGCATTTTATACAGTATAAAGTAGATTTTTTAATTTATTGCAGGATGGCTTTGTAGTGCGAATATTTGCAACAAGTACTGAGCCAGTACTGCAACAAGAACTGCAGCTCAAGCTTGCAAGAAAATGCTTACATGCCTGTGGTATCTCATTGTTTGATCTGGAAAAAGACTTGCACATTATCAGTAAGTCCTCTTCTTTTAAGGCTGGTAACAAGCGCAATAATTCAAATAATAAAACTGAAACACTGCCCTTCCTTTTGTTTGCCTTTATTATGTGGAGGAAGGTATAGGTCCATTATAAACGTGGTTTTAAGCATTATTTGACTCATAGTAACTCATACACTCATTTTGAACCACCTTTCTGTCTATAGCACTATGTATGGTTTTCCAGTGTTTTCCACTGGTTGTGTAATAAACATATAATTGTTTGAAGCTTGGACTTCATAGTAGGGCTTGTATAACACATAGTTAAGCTATAGAACTCATTGTTGTGGGTCAAAATTAACAAAACTAGTTAAAAGGACTGCTGGCTGGATTAATAGCAAGCAAATGTATTGAAAGATACCAAATATGTGGAAACTACCTTTGCATCAGAATTTAAGACGCAAAATTGTTCATGTCTACGAAGGTGTTTTGGAGAAATATCACTTGGCCTTTGCTTTGTGTTGTGTTGCTCTGTTAGATGGCTCCTTTCGGCACTATCACAACAAAAGCAAATTTTACTACATAGACCTTTTGTCTGACCAAGTGCCATTGCTCTTATGCTGGTGCTTTTTTCTTCTTTGAATAACTCTGCCAGATCTAGACCAGTAAGCCTTCTTGTTGCAGCAAAACTTTGTTTCACTTGTAACTTTCTTAGAACCCACGTTATGACAAACTCTCCTTGGCAGGGTTAGGTCAGTAAACTGGTCTGTGAAACTGCCTGGTTAAACCGTTTGGTTAAACCGTTTGGTTAAACCGTTTGGTTAAACCATTTGGTTAACGCAACCTTGCCCGCACAGGTACGGGGTTTGATGAGGAATCCGCTGTCCTTGGTGCTGGAAGGGAGTTTGCACTGATGAAAACTGCGAGTGGAAAGGTACTGAAAGCATTCTGTATTAAATAGCAAGTTGCATCGATGTATTTCTACATGTTTTTTTTAACTCAATTACTATTTTCCACAATCCTTTTTTTTCTTTTTAGTATGCTAGAATGAATTTATATGACTGTATTTAAATACATTTTCAGACCCCACTTTAAAGGGAAAAAGGCACATTGTTATTTGAAAACCTAAGCAGATGTTGCTGGAACCATTGAGATATCTGTGAATTGAATTTATAGGAATTTCTATGGTCAATCTTACTTCGAGACGACGTGGGGCTTTGTTTTAGATTTGGAGGAGAGAGATTACCTTTTGTCTACAGATGATAATGTGTAGCAAATTTGCAAAATTTTTTACTCATAACTTGCCATAATCAGTTTGACCTTTGTCATTTATTTAAATCCCAGCCTGATTTTTCTGATCCTTCAGAGAATTGTTGATTTCACCTGTGCAAAGTTTTCAACTTTTTTTTTTTTAAACTCATTCTTAATGATTTGATTTATTGGTTCTGCTCAGTGGAGACTGTTTTTCAGAGGTATATGCATATTCGTTGACACTTAGAAATTACTTTTCTTACTGTCACTATAACTTTTTACGTTTACTGTGTTTCTATTTTGATTTGGGAAGCTAATGTTATTTTATGCATGTAAGCATAGTTCTTTGTTTTCCAGTGTTCAGGATTGTGTTGCTTTATTGGAGTGAAGGCCTTCCTCTACCTTTAGTAGAATAGTGAGACTGGTTAAAATATTCATAAATGTAATTATTTTTTCTTAGTAAAATGTAATAGTATGAAACAGAATTTGACCAAGCAGAACTCTTCAGACATTAGAGGAGACAGATTAATTTGGTCTTTGAACTAGCAAATGCCTCTTCAGTATAAAATTAACAAATTTCTTAGTTTTGATCTCTAAAGTTGTGTGTTTAGGTATGAAATACACTTTATAAGACACTGAAAGATGGCTTTAGGTGTCCACATATGTGAACATACTGATTTTATAGTACTGTTGAGTAGTGTGGTTCTAGAGGAAATTTTTTAGACCATATAGTTAATTTTGTGTTTTTTCCTGTGAAATATTTGTTATCAAGAACAGTGGGGCCAGCAGGAGGAGGGAAGTGATTGTGCCTATGTACTGTACTTGGCACTGGTGAGGCTGCACCTTGAATATTGTGTTCAGTTTTGGGCCCCTCACTACAAGAAGGACGTTGAGGTGCTGGAACATGTCCAGAGAAGAGCAACGAGGCTGGTGAAGGGTCTAGAGAACAAGTCTTATGAGGAACAGCTGAGGATACTGGAGTTGTTTAGTCTGGAGAAGGGAAGGCTGAGGGGGGCGTTATCGCTCTCTACAACTACCTGAAAGGAGGTTGTAGTGAGGCAGGTGTTGGTCTCGTCTCCCAAATAACTAGCAATAGGACGAGAGGCAATGGCCTCAGGTTGCATCAGGGGAAGTTTAGATTGGGTGTTAGCTTATTTACTGAAAGAGTGGCCAGACATTGGAACAGGCTGCCCAGGAAGTGGTGGAGTCACCATCCCTGGAGGTGTTCAAAAAAACGTGTAGATGTGGCAATTCAGGACACGGTTTAGGAGGCATGGTGGTGTTGCATTGACAGTTGGACTTGATTATCTTAGAGGTCTTTTGCAACCTGAATGATTCCATGATGTTTTTCTGTCTTACTGTCTGTATATTCAGTGGCCACTGTGCATTTACTGAAAATAAGTTTTTCAAATGTGTTGAAGCATGTTAAAATTAATATTAAATTGATATTTTTAATCATTGTTATAATAACATCTCATTTTTACACAGACCAGACATTTGTTTTAAATATTCTGTTTCCTCTGAGTAGTTTCTTCTGAACAATTTTTTCTTGTGTGTTAGCTCATCTAGCCAAACAATTACGTATGAAAACTAATTATGTGGCACAGTAGAAAGCATGTTTCAAAACAAACAGAATCTAAACAGAATGTTTCCCCCATTAAGTCAAAATTTGTAAGCTTAGGACAGAGCTATTGAAGTGGAGTAGATAATGTCAGGAAAAGTTCTGTATGGTTTGAAATGACAGGATTTAAAAACATTGCAACTTTAAAAAATGATGCAAGTTTGAAGTGCTGTGGCATAACTGAAAATGATAAACTGTTTTCTCCTAGATTTATTATACTGGCAAATATCAGAGCCTCGGAATCAAACAAGGTGGTCCTTCAGCAGG